CTGTTCGCAAGGTGCTAATCACATTATCGGTAAAGAATACGATAGTTGGCAGGTGGCCTGCTCTTCCGGAGAGGAGGCGAGAGCTGAGAACTAAAGGAGGCTTCGAGGGTGTACTGGGGAACAAAGAAGTAACTGTTCAACCAAGTATATTGAAATACTGTCTGTCGAAGTCTGCCTTTTCTATCGTAGAAACAGGTGGTCTTTAAATACACAAATCTGTTCAAGTCTAGCATGATCGAAACTAATCAAAGGTATCAATTGATACTCTTTGGTAAAACTCCTTAATTATCAAAACGATACTTAAAACAAAACATAAAACAAAACCAAGTATCAAACGATACTTAAAACAAACCAAGTATCAAAGCGATACTTAAAACAAAACATAAAACAAAACCAAGTATCAAACAATACTTAAAACAAACCAAGTATCAAAGCGATACTTAATACAAAACATAAAACAAAATCAAGTATCAAACGATACTTAAAACAAACCAAGTATCAAAACAATACTTAAAACAAAACATAAAACAAAACCAAGAACAAACGATACTTAAAATAAACCAATAATCGAGTACCCGTACCGGTTCCATTTGAGGTCTTTCCCTTCTCTTATAAACTGGAGTGGTAGGTAGAGCTTGAGTCTGGGTCTATGGGGTAATTCAAGGTATTATTTTTCTTCTTGTAGTCTTGCACTTGATTTTCTACCTCCTAAAGGTCCTCCATCTGTACTAGCCATATTTGATTCACTACCAGACTCAGACTCATTATGGGGTTCGAAAGTAGGTTTCTTTGCTGGTAGAGTGTGGAATTTTCCTGCCGGTTGTGTGGCTTCTATGTTTGTGGATTGTTCTGACTCTTTAGCAGAGTGACAGAGTTGTTTCTTCCTTGAAAGATCTTCCCAAGGGATCTGCTTCTCACTGCGGGTCGGCAATGACTCTATATTAGTGTTGAGATGAAGCCGAATGTACTGTGATTCTGCTGCTTCTCTCTGCTAACATTCTGAGGTGGATGTCAATCAGTTAATCAGGCCTAAATCGGGTGACCGGTTCTCAACCACGTGCTGAGGTTAAAAAAATGTAACCTGTTTGCAAGGTGCTAGTTATGTTATCAGTGATAGGTATGATAGATGACAGGTAGCCTGCTCTACCAGAGAGGAGGCGAGAGCTGAGAACTAAAGGAGGCTTTGAGGGTGTACTGAGAAACAAAGTAACAGTTCGACCAAGTATATTGAAATACTGTCTGTCAATGTCTACCTTTTCCACTGTAGAATCAGGCGGTCTGTAAATACTCAAATCTGCTCATGTCTAGCATGAATGAAACTACTCAAAGATATTAAATGATACACTTTAGTAAAACAATGTAAGTATCAAAATGATACTTAAAACAAAACATAAAAGAAACCAAGTATCAAAAGGATACTTAAAACAAAACATAAAACAAAACTAAGTATCAAATGATACTTAAAACAAACCAAGTATTAAAGCGATACTTAAAACAAAACTTAAGACAAAACTAATAACCGAGTACCCATACCGGTTACAAAAAAGGTAACAGGATTGGCCTGCCCGTTTTGGTCTAGGGAGTGCAGTGCGCTGTTTTTCTGTCCCCCAATTCTTAGCGTATCCTTGCATTAATATGGAATTCTAAATTCATTTCCCTTAACGCATCTTTCATTTTACCTATTATATACTATCGACTGCCTCCAAATATGATAGGCCAACACTTAATCTCATACTGTGACTTCTACAGACTCGTGAGGGGCTCTACTATTAGATGCCGAAAGATTGAGGATCCCGGTGGGCAAGCAACAAGAGCCAAGATGATCTTATCCTAAGTGTCTGTGGCACTATGCCCTACCCGGGTTGTAGCATGACGAACCCGTCTTACTATTTGTCAGGTGAGTACGAGTACCGTAGCATAGTGATGAATAAAGTACGGTGGCAGGTCTTGGCATTGACCTTTTTGCTTGGGTGGAGAGATAGTATGACAGGCCCGAAATCTCGAACTTCGGCTGGAATCCAGTACCAGTATTCCATGATGTGGAGATCTAGAAAAGAATTATGATGCACGGGGCATGTTGTTGAGGTGTAAAATTATGGGGAACGCTTGTAAGGAGATCTTCGAAAATTTGGAGTGAGACAGGGGGTAGGTACCGTTAACCTGGTGTGCCTCGCCTCCTTCAATCCCTTATGATAGGCGGGTCCTTGGGGAATATCCTAATGCGGTTTCGTGGTGTAGTTGGTGTCTACACCACTTTGCGGGTGAAAGACATTAGTTTCTCACCTACTAAACCCAACTCAGCCACTATTCGTGTGGGCCAAGCTGCACAACCCCCCCCCTCCCAGGACTGCTGCTCTACCTTTGCTCACTCCCGGAAACCCAATATGTTCTCCCAAAACCCAAACGCAATCCCATAAGTTAGAGCCCCATAGACAGTATAGACAGGATCCGAATCTTGGTATTGGAGGCCCTAGAGCGTATTGAAAAAAATTGTAGTAGACTATTCCTACTGCTGAGAATAACATTAGAGGCCGGCGAAAGCGTTTGGAAGCGGACCGATAGTCCCCCACTCATCGGGTTCGTTCAGCAAGGAATTTGGATGTCCAATGGGAGGGCACAGTATCTAAAAAAAAAACCAACGCCACCCCTTCCTTGCATTGGTAACTATATTGATCAAGATCACAAAACATCACTCGCCAAACGGCTATTTTCCAAGCAACGCATCGTGGAGACACTGCTCTGGCTCCAGCCGGGTGGGCAACAGCGGGCTCATGTCTAGAATATCATACTCCCTAGGAGAGAACCCCACGACAACAATCCAACCTAGCGGAAGATTGCCAAAGCTTCCACTCCCACCGGCCCCACTAGCGACAGCACTTACCCGAGCACTCCTCCGGAGCCAGGGTGCCACCAACTCACCGGTATGCATACCTCTCTTCTCACACTGTTGGGAGGGTAATGGAAGAGGTTCGTGGATTCGGGAATGGTGGAGGGGTGATACCTTTTCACTAACAATCACTCGACTTTTTGGAATGATACCAACAATAGCTACTGCTGACAAGTCCTCCCGGAGCTAGGTATAATAAACAATTCACAAAGATTGAGAAGCCCCATGTGAGAACCCCACCCACCGGTGACCTGCGCTCCAGATATGAAAATATGGTTATATTGCGAGAGCACAACTGCGATTGCACCCCCACCCCTTTCGTCGCCTCCTGCCCCCTTTTCCGTGTTTGCACCCCCAGCTGCATCATTCCCCTCCTCTCTCTATGCACCCGAGTCACTTAGAACATTCCCCCGGTCCGCTTCACTGCCATTGCCTTCTCCTGCAGCCTCCTTTCATTCTCCTCTTTGTACACCTTAACCATTTCGAGGCGCCTCTCTCTAGCATCCTGCTTTCATTGAAGACTTGAGGCCTTCTTCGCCTCCTTCGCCTTCTTCTTCCTCGCCTTTAGGAAGATGGTAGTCTTATTCTTGACAATAGCCCTCACCCCATCACCGTGGGGGTCCTTGAAGGCGACAGACTTTGACATATTCTTCCTGCCGCCGCCGCCAAGCTTTACGTTGCGGCTTGAGCGAGCTTTCGCTCCAAGCGCACGGAGATAACCCCCCCCCGCTCTTGCTCGTGTCTCCGTATTCCAATTTTCTGAGGCTCCTGCGGACAACCTAGCGTTCGATCGAGCCCGTCGGAGTGCATAGGTCGTGTATAATGTGCGGATCGCGTTTGATAGCAGGGGGTATGATGTGCGAGAGGGTCAAACAGAAATCGCAGAATTGTTGCATTGCATACGAGCTCTGAATTGGCGAGTCGGGTTCACCGTCCAAGGGGGCTACGCCGAAGTAGTCTATTGTTGGGCTAATCTTGTTCTGCGTGTCGGCTCAGTGGTCGATGCCGAGACGGAAGGAAACATCAGTACTCAAGGTCAGCATAGTTGTTTTTTTCTTTGATGACTTATCCGTGAATCTGCAGATATCCGGGGCGCTCACAGGGCTGCGAGAAGCGGCACCACTCTTTGCAGTTGGTGCCGTCTGTTGGGCCAGAGGGGAACATGGGGCACCCGTCTAGTACCGCTGCAATCCCCGACGCAGATATTTTAGGTGTCAGCCATGACTCTTCAGAACCAGGAGAAGAGGATCTCCAAGTACGGGAAGCTTCTGACTACAGAATGCTCACCGTATCACTTGCTAATCTAGCCATACTGCGTAAGCTTCGGAACACCGACACTGAAGACCTCATCAACGGAGGGAGAATGCTGCGCGGCTGGGCAGGCAGTTTGAGAGGATATATCCGGCAATTCACTGGGCTGTTGGTAATTTGAATAGGAGGAAGGTGAAGTTGCACTGAAGAGGTGGATGGAGCAATGGTGAAAGGTGGGGGGGTAGAAACAGAGGGGGAACGGAGGGAGCCGGAAGCAGTGTTTACGTCCGCGCTTACTCTCCAGGAGATTTTAAGGAGCGCTATGGTTCCGGTCGTAATAATGCAAGCGTCCATTGTTCGGCTTGATTGTTGAATAAAGGCATGGTCCTTTTTTTGCGGTTTTGCGGGCAATTTTTTTTAAAGACTTCGTCTCCTATTCGGGCCAGACTGCCGTACTCACAAAGCCGATCCTTGGAGCAGAAGAAGCCTATTCATAGCTACAAAAAAACAATATATTTTTGGCAAATTGGGACTGGTGAGATGTCTCACCTTTGGAAAATATGCGACTTGATTTATTTTTGCTTACATTTTGCAGGCGGCCGTTGGTCGGGACTCCCACACACAATGCCTCAACTTCAAACCCGAAAATCATAGCCTTGAAGTCCATGAAACAGTCCCAGAGACCGACTCTTAGGAGACCCCTCAAGTGTGAGCGAATAATTCTCAGCATTAAACACAGATTTTTGCTCGTCGTGCGCCAAATCCCTCACGCAGATCAAGCCTCCGACCCTAACCCTGTGCACAAATACTACACAAACCCATTCGTGAGGATGTTCAGCTAGCTCTCCTTCTTGATAACCCTCTAATGTAGTGTGTCCAACGTAGTACTGGATGCTAGCCCCCCCGAACATCCCCACGTTGCGATGTCAGTTGTTGATCTTTCCGCATACTGACTCAAGCTTGACTTTCGGGTAGATTTTTGGGTGTAATGGCTCGTAGCCGATCGCAGCCCCAAGTTAAAGGTGCGTAACGACGTCCGCATAGCAGCGGATGGGGGATGTGAAGTATGATAGGTGTAGATCCTGCTCGCGAGACCGCAGTGTCGGAATTCAGGGTAGCCCTGGGTGGCGGAACTGAAGTGTTCGGCTGAGAGCATGCGCCGCACCGCTAGGATGTGCACGAGTGTGTTGAAGAAGGGGTTGTAAGGGTCGATAAATCGGTCACGTGAGTCCGCGAGCACCTTGACCGTAATTGTGTGTAGGGTCAGGGCTCGAGTTACCAATTGGTTTTTGAGGTCTTCGAGGTTGGAAGCTGGCGGGCTGCCGCGACATCTGGGCTCCTTGTTAGCTTTTAGTCTGGCCAAGTACATATAGATGGTTAATGTGGAGGGAGGGATGGCAAGCCTTAGCATAGCGGTTTGCGGAAACGCCTCATAAATCTTCCCCGCGACACCCGCAGCATAAACTCCTCAACTAAAGAATTGGTCCGCCAAGACGTCCAACTGCTCGACAAAAAATCCCGCTAGATCGCATGGATGGGCATTGATTGCGTCGAGGAAAATCCAGTGTGAAGCTTAGTAACACCAGCTCCAACCCCACGGCCGTGTTAGCCAAAGCCCAACATATGGCTCCGGGCCCCCTTCTCACGATACATGCAGACCACAAGGAGTTTGACCTCGCCGGGTCGAAGTTGGACGGATTTACCATCTGAGGTGGGGGGATACACCGGGTATAGTCTCTACTAATGTCGGACGCCAATTTAAGTTGGATGGGGATGCCACGCTGAACTCGGGAAAACCATTGACATCTCCAATTTCTCTCTGAACTCCGCTCCCAACAATCAAACAATTGCTAATTTACCTTCCATTCTAAGCGTGTATTATCACCGGTTTGAGCCCGCTGTGCTAGGTCAGTGATTGGAAAAGAAAAACGAGTGGGGCTCTGGTTGTGGGGGGTTCAATAGCGGGGTATTGGTGATACCAGGGGTAGAAGGGCCCTGGGAGCTATACGCTTATTCGATAATCGTAGAACCGAGGAGTATCATAGTGTGATGCAGGGTTGATCCGCCAGGCTGCGCTTCACGAGTACATAACTGACCCTCGTCTGATAAGCACCATACCCGAGTGATCACTCATGACGGCGAATACAATAGTCGCATGTGATCTAGAAACACCCTGCAAACAGATGAAGTCTAACGACGATGGGTAGAGTGTATCATATATATTTCTAAACAGGAGTAACTGACTAGCCTGAATACTGGAGATGAAAAAGTGGGGAAAGCTAAAAATGTATTGTACATCCAACCCCCCCCCCCCCCACACACACATCTCTCGGACTCACATTTCCTAATAATTATTATCCGCCGCTGTGCCGCCCACTTTCTTCACCTGACGCTTTGGTTCCTAGGGGGCAGTATTGATGTTAGTCCTATTGTCAGCCGAGGGACTCTTGGACCTCTCACGGTCGGCTGGACTGACGTCGATGTTCCCACTGCAAAGGTCAGCCTCGACCATTCCAGTCACTAGTGTCTTTTGGACGGAGAGGTTTTTCATCACGTTTTCCTTCTCGCTGTCAACGACGGTTGGGCCGCGCCCGGATCTTTTGGTTAAGCGGCCCGCTTTCGCCTCCAAGCTTTATTCCGATTATGCAACTTGAGTGCCCCCAGCCTCGCCCCTGTCTTCCCATCGCCCCTGCCCCCCCTCCTCCCCCAAATCTCCCCCGACCCCTCAGTCTACCCCGGCTCCTTCACCGCCTCTCTCATACCTGCCTAGCAAAAGCACATCGTCTGCCCCCCCGTCATCACGCCTCCGTTCCCGCTTATTATACATTAAAAACGTAAGGGCTCCCCCTTCGCCCATCCGGGAAGAGCCGCAAACGGATAAACACTCAATGAACTTCGCATAACTACCAAATGGTCCCCCGCGACCATTCTAAGTCCCACATAAAACCCCCTCCGCAAACCCTCCCCAAAGAATACAGTATCTGGTTCTACCAAGTCGGTACTAGCCTCGCACCGGAGAGCGCTTCCGGCGGGAACGCGTTGTTGGAAATCATGGATACTGCTCGGCATGCCCATGATTTCATGCCTTTACCTATCCGCATATCAGTTATCTGTTTATTCATCATCGATAGCTGCCTATCGTTTGTCGTCCGATATTTGTTCATTGTTCGTCATCCGATATCCGCTTATTGTCCTAACGTTGTGGTTCGTTTAGCATCCATTTATTCCTCAGATATCTATCCATTATCTGATATCCGTTCACTCTTTGACATCTGTTTACCGTTTGGTATCTACCCGTCGTTCCGTATCCGTTTATTGTTCGTCTTTGGATCCCCCTGCCATCCAGCATGCTTGGAACCTACTCGCCATGTTCTTAGACTATGTAGGAGATGTTCCGAACATGCTCGACACACAAGGAACCATCACCGCCGACCATTCGTTCATTATTCGTTGTTTGGTTTGATGATGTGCTTTGGGAAAGCACATCCGAGACAGGAACGTGGGAGTACGGCCGCGGGAAGACAACGGCGGGAGTCTTAAAGAGGCTTTTATTTCTTCCTGTCAACAGAATGAACTTAGCGGAGGAAGAAGGAAGAAAGGGAAGATATCTGAACAAGGAGGAAAACGGGAGTCTTTATGGAGTTTGTTCGCTTAGCTTGAAGGCATGCAGAGGAAAGATGGATCTATGTGGAAAAGCGGGAAAGGCAGGGGTATATGTGCTGATCGGTAGAAGGATCGGGGATGCGATTTCGACGTTTATTTATACTCCTGTCTTCGTCCTGTTTTGTCAGTTAAGTTGAGAGAGTTAGCCGTGCGAGAAAATTGAGAGTGTAAGGAAGGGCGTGAGTTTAGGAAAGAGCAAGAGACGAAGAGAAAATTTTTCGCTTACCTCTCTTTTACCTTTTTGCCTCAGTCTTAGCGTTTCGTTTCAGGCGAATGATAGTTTGTGAGTGCGAGATCGTTGACGTTTATCAGTCTCCGAGAACAGCAGCTGTTTAAAACGCGTTGCTTTATTTTATCAGCCGGGTATGCGGTGTGGCAATCGACGGACGATTGTCCCGTGAACCAGCAATGGCCCTTGATGGGCCTCGACGGTCCTCTCCAGCGGAACCCCTGCGGCGTGTTCAAGCGCGTCTATGTTCCGAGTAAGGTACTTGTGCAGGTTCTTCCTTGCGGCTAGTGGTGTGAAGGCGTAAGCGACTGTTGGGGCGAATTTGCCAGGGTCTAGAAAGGTTGTCAGCTTGCGCGGAAGAAACGAAAGTCGAAGGCGGCCTTCGGGTGCGAGAGGTTTAGAGTCCCGAGGTTGGAGTAGATGACGGCACGTGGTTTGCTGGAGTCAGGGATGCTGGGGGGGGTGGATATTCAAGTACTATACCAATACACGTTACCTCGTGGCGGCGGGAGCGGCGGTGAGCATTGGGAAAGGGAGGTGCTAGAAAGTTTACCTTCTGGATCTTCCGGCTGGGAATGAATTCCAGCACTGCGGGAAGGTCTCGGTAGGAGAGTGTTTATAGAGGAGTGTCTGTATCCGCCCGAGTAAATATTTCGGTACCCATTTCATTCTTTTTGAAAGTTCTCTGTCATTCCTGAGATTAGGTGCCGGTATTGAGATTGTATTCTCCGGAGCCAAGAGGACAACTCCCACTCGGGCCACACTCCCAATCCACAGACAATTGAGTCAGCTCATTGACTCCGAAACTGCCAGCCCTCCGAGTAAACCGATGAGATCAGCAGGATTACGCTCGATTGAGATACGATCGTGAGACCCCGATTACCGTGGTACTCCAGAACGATCTACCCGTGATTCAGTGATAATCTGATAGCCTCTACCGCTGGCCATCCTCGTTGCCCGCACGACACCACTCCAGTTCTTTGGTCACTTCCTACTTGATGCCAATGTAGTCGCCAGTGTACACGACTCTGATGTGCGCAATTGCCCACGTTTCACCGCTTCGGTTGAGTGCTCTACTTCCATAGATACGGGGCAGATAGAGAACACTTGTGCACTCTTCATTCATCAGAACCCTCTCCCTCCTTAACCTCGCTAAAGTAATTATTGACTTCCCCAAAATAACGAACTCGGTACCATCCTTTCCACCTCCCCTCATCCAACACCATCACCCAACCAAAGAACTCGGCTCAAATGTCGGCCGCCGGAAGAGCTAGGCCAGGTAGAGCCCAAGGCCAGGTAGACGGCCAAGCACAGGGATTACGCAACGGCGAATTAGCCGTGATTGAGGCAGCAAGGGCGGTGTGGGGTTTGATCGGGGCCCGTTATGTGGGGGACTTTGCTGTTGTTGGGGGCGCTGCCCTACTTCTCCACGGGGCGACTATTCGGACAAGAGACGTTGATTTTGGTATCACGGCCAGGTCGATGGATGCTTTCGCAAGGGCCGCCGACGTGGATAGCGGGTTCTCTCAACACCCCCTAGGTTGGGAGTACAATTCAACATTCGGAATAAATGTTGGAATTGATTTCGTGGAGATTGGCGGTGGCTACCTCCACCAATTGCAGGCTTATTGCCTTGATGAAACCCTGCCGGTGGCCAGCCTGGTTGACCTGTCACTAGCAAAAGGGATAGCTTGGGTCGACCGCGGGTATAGGAAAGACCCGGACGGTCTTCAGTTTGTGGTGGGGGTGATGGTGCGGAAGGAGCAGAATTTCCGGAGATTGGGGGGTGACGAGAGGGAGCTGCTGGGAGAGATTATTGAGGGCCTAGACTGCAATGAGGGCAGACAACTTCATAGGGTTATAAGAACCCTCTTGTGAGTTTAACCCTATTTTTATGGGCCATGCGCTCGCTTAGGCTGGGCACAAATTGGGGGGGTAGATTCGGTTTGCTGGAGGGCTTGTGGGTGTGTACAGTACTGCATGCGGCCAGTACTGAGTGACTGGGGAAATTCGGGGGGAGATGAAGTGATCCGGGGGGGTTCCGCAAGGTCTAATAGATGGTGTTTGATTCGGGTCCTGATTTAAGGAATAAAGAGAAAGGTGGAACTCGGATGGTGCAAGGCGTATCCTAGGCTAGTATTATTTTTATCTTACATAATTGTGTCTCTCCTACCCACTCTCCACGTTATTTTCGACACATTCTACGTAGATTGGGTCCCTTGTTTCGCCTGGGCTCATTCCCCTAGAATGAAACTTGACTGAAAGATTTAATCGAAAAAGAAAAAGCGCTTGATAGTTGTGCACAAAATTATCTACCTCTCCACGCTTTTTTGCGCAGAAATTAGTTGCTGCCATTGACTGATCTGAGATCGGGTTTGGCTGTTTGGAGGTCCCGGTTTGATTCTATTTGCATTATACTTGTAATATCATAGACATTTTGTCGCTCCTATCGCGGAGATAATTATGATAAGATACCC